AGGTAGCGGCTGGCTTTCCAGAGTGCCGCTAAATCAAGACTGTACTCCACATTTTAAAATCCGGAGGGAAGGCTGGAGGAAGGGGAGAATCCCTCACAAGTCAGCCCCTGCAATCATTTAAATAAAGGTAAAATTAGCATTCGCTCCTTTGAAGTTAGAGTGAAGATGGCTTAAAAAAGATTTTATTTAGTGCGTGTCACATCAAAACGAGAAGAAAGGCAATGCCTCGCGTAAAGTTTTTAATTTCGTAATTTTTAAAAAAACATTATTTTAGGAAAGGTCAAAATGGCAACTCAGGTGTCCCACTGTATTCTCGCGGCCCCCAGGGTGGCAGACCTCTCCCGACAGCCAGGGAATGCTCGGTTTTCTCGCGCTGGGAGTAACACAGCCAGAAGATGTCTCCGGAGGTTCCTCTCTCCCGATTCCACATTTGGCTAGGACCTGGAGAGTGTTTGTGTCTGACTCCCGCAGGGGGCAGGACCCAGGGCACCGCACTTGGGACCTGGCCTGGGCCGCGGCTGCCCAGCCTCTAGCCCCGCGTGGCGGTCCACCTGCGCCTGGAGCTTTTCTTGCTACCAGTGGCGCCCCCCACAACCAGCGTGTCGTGTCAGGAGGGCAGAGCACAGGAGAAGAAGGTTGCACTCGGGGTGTCCCGACTCGGGGCCAGCCAGACAGAAGCGATCTGGGGCTCAGCCCTGGGTTTAGTTCCTGACCCCGAGCAGAGTGCGGAGCCCGACCCGCCCCCGGCGCACAGGAGACGCTCTGGCCCAGGCGCAGCCAGAATAGTTAGGGTTGCTTTCGGCTTTGTTTGCTCTTAAATCTACAGGCGCCGTTTCATCTCAAGCTCTGTTCAGCCTCTGACCTTATGTTTGCAATTCTCCGCTGGACCCTGACTTTTTTTTTTCTTTTTTTTTTTTTTCTTTAATGGGGACGAGTTACCGTGCGAATGGGATGGAGAGAGAAATGTTACTCGCAAGTCTTCGGCTCCCTGGGCTCGGGATGGCACGAAAAGGGGACCCATCTCTATAACCGGAGGTCGCCGGCAGCCTGTGATCTGGGGTTGCCGCCCTCGTCCCCGCCGCTGGAGGTCCTACATAAGAAGTTTCAGAAAGCACGTCCAGAGCAGGTCCCTACACGGGTCCAAGTTGCCTGGGTCTCGCCGCCCTTCATGGCTGGAGAAAAACCCTGTTTTGTGGGGAAACTAGGCGGCCCTCAGGACCGCTCGTTGTGTGTGTGTTTTTTTTTTACCGAGGCTCCTGCCAGCTCTGCATTCTCAGGAATAATTATCTCAAGTCCTCCCACATCCACCAGGGGAGACCTGAATCCTTCTCCGGCCTAGTTCAGGGGACATCCCGGACACTCAGCACGCCCGCAGTGGCGTGCATCCCAGGGAGCCCGGGCCGGGCTGCGCGGCCTTCCTGCTGGGGCCAGTTAGCGGCTCGGGCTTGGAGGCGGCACAGTCCCCATTCGGCCGAGGGTCCCCTCCTACCTCTCCCTGCTCCCGTACGGTCACCCTGCCGCCCGTTTTTCTCTTCTAGTGCTTCTCCTCGACACCAGGACGGGCCCCATCGTATTCACTGCACAAAACCCGGCTTTTCAAGCCCGGTTAGGGGCCTCAGTCTTTCGTAGGAGACTTAGAAAAAGCGAAATTGAGCGCCCAGTGGGTGGCCCTTCCTCGAAGAGAAGACTATCCTTCGTTTGTACCTCTGCTCAAGTGCATTAAAGTTACACTTAGGACCTGCCGTCTATTCCTTTACTGTGGACGGTATGGGGGTGGGGGTGGGGGAATGGAGAAGCCGATCTGAGGATCGTGGCTGCCCCGTTGACATTGGCTGGACCAGAATTGCAACTGTGGGTGTCTGGGATGTTTCTAAATGTGAGACTTGAAGCGCACCCACACTCCTCTCCGCCTCCCCAGCCCTCTTCCTGGAGTCACCAAACTCAGGGTGCCAGGGCCAAGTTCTCCTCCCTGGCTTGGCATACCAGAGCTATTTGTCTGGGCCCCTTACAGCCCGCCAAGCAGTTTTTGGGGTTCTGCCTCTGCCTCCAATTCCTAGGTGTTTGTAGTGACTGCCCCAGCCTGAAGAAGCTGGAAGAGTAAAAGCTTTGAACTTATAAATCCACTTAGAGCAACTATTACACTTTTCCCTTTCTGACCATGTGTGGAAACAACACATATTATTAACGACTTGAGTCTGTAATTCGGGAAACAGGAGATATTTTTTAATTCAAGTGTCCTCTTTCTTCACTGTGGGGTCTCTTCTCAACAGAGATGCCCTAAGGTATGCACTTAAGGAGAGGTTTCAGGAATCCAACATCTGTGCATGTTGGTTTGAAAGTGAATGAAACTCGACTATAATTCAGATTGTTTCAAAAAATACCTTGTTCATTTGTCTAAAACAGTCAGGTGAAAATTACAATCTACAAACTGATGCTAAATTGGTCCTTTTTCTGCTCACCCTAAAGTTGGCCAAGCCAATAGCAAATAGGTGTTCTCCAGTTGGTCCGCTGGCTGTCTTTCCAGCTCCTCTGCATCTACTCAGCCTGGTTCCATTCCAGAGTTCCTTAGTTTGACTTGGTCTTATAGAATCCCAGAGCCCAGGCCCTCTTATTTCCGACCCACCCTCCAGATCAGTCACAGAGATGATTGATTTTTCTGTGTCCTGTTCAAAACAGAAAGTGCTGACATCTTGGGGGTGGGCAATAACGTTCATAGAAGATCAAACAGGCCAATGTCCAGGTTTGGGGATTAAAGTTGTGAGTACACATATATGTTGAAGTGTATATAGATGTGATCACATTCATACACCTGACTGTGTATACAAATGATAGTGTTGAAAATTTGAGACAAATTTTGTAATGCCAGAGTGTAAAGTGAGTGAGAAATTGTATCTTAATCTGGATAAACGAAGAGGTGAATCACACCTAAATGTCGAGGAGTAGATCATTAATTATGAAACCCGAGACTCTTTTGAGCATCCTATGCTTGTTAGAAATGAATCATCTTTTTTTTCTTTTTTATTAGAAATAAGACCCTAAATTCCTTTTGACTGAAAGGAAGTTACCAGACAAGATGCAATTTTCTCTTTCTTTTCTGACAACTCTGTCATCCAAAGGATCACAGCCATGTCAGGGTGTCTGTCTTGGAAAGCAAAAAAAAAAAAAAAAAAAGAGAGAGAGAGAGAGAGAGAGCTAGTGAGAGAAGCCCTGCAGCCCGTGGCCATCTTTGCATCAAAATTTTTCAGACCTCTATTTTTGATTGTGATTCCACTGATCTGAGTTTGAAATGCGAACGCAGTGAAGCCCCTAAGCCTTCAATCGTGTGAAATTTTCAAAAGATCTCTAGAAGCAATCTCAGGCTGCCTGACCCCTGACAGGCACCGATCTCTTTATTCCTCTCTCTGCCGGCACTTCATTTGTCGGAATATCTTTCAGATTTGCACCTCCAGATGACAAACCTGAGTGTTTATTATGTGTACATGAATCGGAAATCTTCAAGCCCGCACAAAAGCATCATTTTAAACATAATATTTAATTTCCCAGCCTAAGTGTCTGCTTCTTTATTTGCTTTTCATTAGCTTAAATATTTCTTCCAGGTCTCCGCATGTGTCACTTTGATATTTAGATGATTCTCTCTTTTAATCATCATTTCCCCCTTGAAAAATCCCCTGTTGCCCACGACTGCGGGGCTCACACGCCAACGTCACGGTGCAGCTGATGGCTAGGACTCCTAGCTCGATGCACAGCAGTTCTGGGAGTGCGGGGTGGGGGGCGCGTCTCCAGGCAAGGTAAGGGCCAGTGGGGTGCCAAAGAAAGACTTTCTTTTTAAGCCAGAGGCCAGGGCTGGGTCCAAGCCAATGACGACCCTCCCACCTCACTCCACCTTTCTCCTTCAGGCCTTTTTAATTCTCCTTATTACTTTTTATTTTTTAAAAAAGCAAAACGAACCCTCAGGTGGCTTGAGAAAGTGCTGGGGGCAACTTTAGCTGCTTGGAATGTGCCCCGCTGCTGGTCCTCTGAGCCTGGGCGCTGGGTTTAGACATTTCACCCGAACCAGTGAGACTCATTCCTGTCTCAGGACTTTTTCCGCTGGCTTTCTGTGGGTACCTAAATCCTGGGAGCTTGAGGGCACTTGAGGGAAATAGGATTGGGGGGGTGCACTTCTTGAAAGAGGGCTGCTTTGTTAAAATGCCCCATGCCAAATAATTCCAGGGACAAGGCTTTGGGGTCGAGATGTCGCCCACCCCTCCCCCAACCTCAGCCAGATCGGGGCTTTAGATCCCACCCGGCAAACAGGTGGACTGAGTGGAGACAGAGGCAACTCCACCCCTGCAGAACCCAGAGGTGACTCGCCACTCTCAAGCACAGTCCCAGGTCGAGAGGTGGTGGGCTGAAGCCTGAACCCCTCCTCCTCTGTGTGTTTGGATGGGCCGTGTTGCTATGATTAACTTATTAAACTCCCTGATAATTATTTTAATTTGACTCGAAAAAATACTTTGGGCGGCGTTGTGATGTGTTTGTATTTATCCATCCCCCCTATAAAACCTGTGTTAAAACAAATGTTACTTTTCTCTCTCTGTACATAGACCCTCCCTTTTTGAAATAGACCGCAGGGACTGCCATTAGATCGAATGGCAAGTCTTTATGGAAAGTGTTTTGCATAATTACATACCAAAGCCAGAACAGTCACCTCCACATTTTATGGGTCACAAACCATCAACAATTGCCACATTATTGTCCACGAAACCTTAGTCCCTTCATTGATGGAGCGGACTCCACTGCCTAATCTAGAACGGGAGAGGATGGAAATTTCTTCTAATAAGAACCTGAGAAGATTATGTCCCCACTGACAACGTGTTTACATATAGTTATAAAGTTCAGAGGACCGGCCGGGAAAGGAAAGGAAATCGGACTAGGCCTGATTAAGAGCGGCGCATCGGTCTAATATAGATAGCGCATCAAAAGGAGTGGCTGAATGCCTCTCCCCTTTTCAGCTCCGACCCCTTTTCTACCTTTGTGATGCAGTAATTAAGATATTCTTATTTAGACAGACAGCTTCTCTGGTAACTGAATAATATTAGCTCCTTTGATGTCAAACTTTTGACAGTTATCACACCAGCACTGGGCAATTTAGCACAAATGCCCTCCTTAAAAGAAAAAAAAAAAAGAAAAAAAAATAGAACACCCCCATCGGCTTTGAAGAAATCTAATAAGTGTGATCCTTATCACCAAATGATCTAAATCGCGGCGCACAGGCCGCCTAGCTATAAATTACATTCGGTTGTCCATAATGAAACCGAATTGGGGTTTTAGCTCATTGAGGCAGCATTGGTGGGAAGTGGGGCCGGAGCCCCACACTTTCAGCTCTCTCATTCCAGACCCCCAGAACTGCTGCCCAGTGCGAGAGAGAAAACCCACAGTCTACCCAGTCAGGGCAGGGATGGGGCAGAGGTGGGGGCAGGTACGGGCAGAGCCCACCACCCTTGCCCCAGCTCTGGAGAGTCCGGCAGGATCAGCCACCTACTCCCGGGATGAGCCGTCGCTGTTGCTTTCAGAGCTTGGTCGCCAAATTTGGGATTTGCCAGATGGCAGGATTATCTTCGCGTCTGTTGTCTTATGTGTGTGGAGGGGAGGGCGGGGGTGGAGAGCGAAGACAGGGAAGTCCAGAGACCGCACTGGTTCCTTTAAAATACCCGCATGTTCCCTCTTTGCCCACTCCCGGGCAGCCACCGCCGGGACCCTTACGGGAGTTCCTGGCACCTCGAAGCGGCCCCACGGCAGGCAGCAGGCGGAGCCTCCGCCACCCCTGCCCCTCAGTGCCGGCCCCCTGCCCGCATCTCTAGGCCTGGGGCCCTGTGCCCAGATGCAAGGAGCTGGGGTTTGAGAGTGGGAATGTGAGAACTTTCCCCAGAGGAGAAAGGGGGAGGTATGAGAGTGGGCAGGGAAGGGGCAAAGAGGGCGGGTTAGGAAGGACAGGACTGTGACGGTGGCACCTGGAAGGCATTGTCCTCGCGAGCGACACCTGTCAATCTCCGCTCCGGGGTCCCGGGGCCGGGGGCGGGGAGGCCGCGGGTCTCTGTGGTGATGTCATCTCAGAGTCCTTTCCCGGCTGAGGGCGGGAAGGCTGGGAGGGGCCCGGAGCTAGGAGAAGGACCGGGGAGGAAAAGAGAAAATAAACAGAAGTCTCTCTGACTCGCCGTGTCTCTCTGTTCGCAATTTACATGGAAATCAATAATCCAACTTTAATGTTATTTTTAATCTTGATTGACCGTCTTGCCTTTCACTGGGGGAGGAGGAATAGGGTTGCTGCCTCGCATGCCACAACCCACACAATCGTTGGGGAAGTTTTGTTGCCCCAAAGCCCAGAGGTGACCGACTCTTCTCCCGGCCCCAGCTCCCCTCTTTGCCTGGCGGTGGTTCCAAGCTTTAGGCTTAAAGAGGAAACACTTGGAGATGAGTTTTGAAAGTCTTTCGGTCTTGCAGGGGGCAAAGAGGGGAGTCAATTAACGCCGGGCTTGCTCAGTGAGTGGGAGAAGGGGCCTCGGCGTGGGTGGGCGGGCCAGGCCGAATGCGGGGATGCCCGCAGTGCAGAAGCCTTGTGAGCCGGAGGCCCCTGCTTGGAGGCCCAGGCTGGGGGGAGGTGGTCTGCGGTGGCCTGGGACGGGGGTGCGGGGCGGGGGTGTTGCTGAGGTACCCCAGGGAGTCCCCAATGGTCCTGGAGAAATTCTGATCTCCCACCTACTGAGTCCCCACTCCCACCCCACAGTGTGCTACCGAACTCTCCCTCTTTCTATTCTTTTCAGCCCGAGCTAATTAGCAGCCTGCCAGTGGCCAGATTTATGGAAACGCTCGGGCGGGCGGAGACCCGCCGCTAGCCTAGCTGGGCAGCCTCGGGGTGGAGTGGAGGAGGAGTCTCGACCGGCCCCCTCCGTTGAGTTTCCGTGCTTGGGGTCGGAAAATGGACGTGGCCGGTCCCCTTCCGCCGTCACCCGGGCGGGTCCAGGAGACCCCCACGCCCTAGCTGCCCCAGCCTGGGGCGCGGGGATCCCTGGCGCTAGCGGGACGGGCGGAGGGAGGTGGCCGAGCAGCCTGCTGAGGACACCGAGGCCGGCAGGTTTCAGCTCCAGCTGACCCCGAGGGCGGGCTGGACGCCAAGGGAGCCCGAGCCTCCTATGCCGGAGTTGGGCGCCTAGCTTCCTGCGTCCATGTCCCCAGAGAGGGGAAATCAGACCTGCAGGGGGAGGGGCGCTGCCTGAGATCGGCTTCACCTCTCCGCACCCCGCCAAAGCCGCAGAAAGTCACTAGGCGGGGTGGGGCCGAATGGAGCCACCAGCCCAGCTGGCTCGGGAGTCGCTGGCCAGCAATTGGGGGAAGGCGTGGTTCTCCTCACTTTCCCTGCGGTGCACTTTCTCCAGGGGCGCATCTTCAGAGGACTCCTCCGAGTCGGAGTCTTCTGCTAAGAGTTGGAGTTTCTCCGAGGCGAGTGCAGGTCACAGGCCATTTCTGGAACCACCCGATGGGGCATTTACCAGAAGACAAGGCACAGTCCCCTGGCCATCATCGGGCTGCTTTGGACAGTCAAGAGGGAGAGGGGTCGAGGAGTATTCCCTCTTTCCCATTTGACCCCAGAAGTGAGTCTGGAGAGCGAGCGGAGTGGAGGAGCCAGGGAAGAAAGCGCGGCAGGACCTGTTGCTGGCGCTCAGCCAGCCTCGCCTCGGAGAATGTTGGACACCTTGATTTCTCCAAAGAGCACCAGTGCTCTCCCCACCTCGCTTGGGGGAAAGAAACTAACAGACAAAAAGGGCCAGAGGCCCGGGGAACTCTATGCGCCTTAGGCTTGGAGTGAAGACAGGGAAAGAGCAGGGTGAAGTCACTGGGAAAAGGATAGGGTCCCTAGGCCCGGCTATGATTGAAACTGTAGTTGCAGGGAACTGAGATCTCCAAAAGAATGTATAAAGTTTACTTTAGAACACCCAACCTGTTCATGTTTCTCAGAAGGCATTCTAGATGCCCTGACTGGGAGCACGTCGGGAATGCGACCCTTCTCTCCCCCCCTACCCCAAGAACTTCAGACACCTGCTTTAGTCTGACTTCAGCCCCCAGGAGCCCAGGACCCCTCCTCCCTGGGTTTCACTCACAGGAGAGAGACATTTAGTGTTACAGATAACTCAACCTGGGCCCAACCCACCCATCCCTGGGAAAATTGAGTCTGCTCATTTTCCTCACCCTGCTGCCACCATTTCTAAAGGGTTAGTAAGAGTTAGGGAGTCATATAGGCCATGGCCTTTCCCCAACCGACTAGGAGAAGGAAGTAGACACCCTCAGCCAGCCAGGGAGCTGTATTTTCAGGTTCAGCCCCATGGGTGACAGTTTCACTGAATTCCCAACTGTGTTAAGGGCTGGAGTCACCTGCTCAGACACGTTGTATGGGCCAAACCCACGAGCAAAGTCTGAGCAGAAATGGAGTCCTCCTCCCCCACACACCAAAATGTCACCTTTGGGGCACTGCAGGCCCCAAGGTTGCATGTCACCTGAGGGCCACACTCCAGAGACAGGGCCTTGCTGGGTCCTGCCTCCTGGAAAGTGCTTGCTGATCAACTCCAGGTCCACATTCCGCACAGCAAATGCTGGCAGTTGGGTACTCCAATAACATTCTTCATTCCTCTTTTTTAAAGTTGATTTATAGCAATCGACAGGTTAAAGCTTCATCTGACTTCATTACTTTTAAAAGCTGTCTATTTCACAACTGTCACTTTTCATCACTTAGCTCAAATAAATACTTGAAGAAATGAATTGGAAGAGACTTTCAGATCATGTTTATAATTCTTGGTGGCCGCGTTAACATTCCTAATGACCTGACCCTTGAGTTTCTGCAGACTTCTAAATTGGGCCGAAAATTCCTCCATTTATACTAGAAAACTTCAAGGAAAGTGAGGTGGCCGGAAATTCGGCTCAAGGGAGAAGTGAAGCGGCTGCCTTCCCGCGGCTGCGAGGGCCCAGGCCCAAGACCCAGGGCCACAGAGAGGGGAACAGCAAAAGGGGTCAGGGGATTCCCGGGGAACCAGCTGCTGACCTGAGGGCCCCAGCCTAGCAGCCGCGCCACCTGTCCGAGTTCCTCGGATCCCGCTGACCAGGCTGCAAAACCACGAGAAAATTCATGCCAGAAGGAAACGATGTTCATTGGGACTGTTACTATTATTATTTATATCCCTGTTTCAAAAATGATTTTAAAGGGCCCCCACAACCGAAGATTAGGAGTGATGGAGTGAGAGCCATTTTTTCCCGGTGATCTTTGACTCAGAGCTTGTGAGACACCCAGAAAGAACAGAAGCGTGGAAACGAAATCATACGCACTGAAGTCCGTTCAATAAATTGAAATAGTTTCTTAAATTTTGCTACCATTTGTCCAAGCCTTCTAGTATTACCAGCTGGTGGTAATACTTTCACTTTCTCTCTCTCTCTCTCTCTCTCTCTCTCTCTCTCTCTCTCACACACACACACACACACACACACACACACACACACCAGCTCAGAAAAAATAAACGAAGGTAGAGGGAAGAATTTTTAAAAACCTACAGAAAATAAAAGGAAAGGGAAGGGAAGAAAAAGGAAGTGAGAGAAAAGAAGAAAGGACAGGAAAAACCAAAAACTGCGATTTTTTTTTCTTTTTTTTTGTTTGGGGGACAACGATAGAACGCATTTTCTCTTTTCCTTTTCTTTTCTTTTTTTTTTTTTTTTCTTTGAAAAAGAAACCAACAACAAAACCCTAAGCTGCGTCTGAGCTTGCGGTGGACTGGGCGCTCGGCTTGGTGCGTTCTGGGAGAGGCTGAGTCCAGCGCGCCGCTCCCCGAGCCTGGGACCCGCAGCCCCAGCGTCTGCCCCGCCTGGGAACTTGGAAGATTCCCCCGAGCGGCGGCGCGGAGGGTGCCTGGGCCTTGCCACCACCGCGTTCCCCGCCGCCGCCAGCCTTCCCCAGTCGTGGCCTCGGGCCTTCGCCCACACTGCTGACCGCTCGGCCTGGGACGGTCCGAGCGCTCCCGACTTTCCGCGCCAAGGGTTTAAGAACCCCGTTTAACATTGCTCGGCGGCCGCTGCCTCGCTGCGGGGACGCGGCGGCGGATGCGCTCGGTGGCGAAAACCCGGGAGCGCTGCCGTACCTTGGAGCGCCACCTCGCTGCAGAAACTGGAATGACGCCGCCAAGCCTCCCAGCCTGCAGCAGCCTAACTTGAACGTCACCCGGACTTTTTTTCCCTCATCGAAATTCTCAGAGAAGCGGTAATGCACAGGCCTTCTGACGGGTTCAAAACCATTATCTGTGACCGACAGATCCCACAGTGGCTGCATTGGGTTGAAGGGAAAGTAACAGGAGAAGGAGAAAAATAGAGAGGCATAATTTCCCCACATCTAAAGGAGTCACTCAAGCTGGGGAGCTGCTTTCCTAGAAACGATAAAATAAATGAGACACGGGCTTTAGCAAGCCACTAGTTCCGGCCGCCGTGTTTTTCGGGTCATTCAGCTGAGGCCAGTGCAGATACCTCCCATGAGGCAGTGCCTATAAAGTTATCCCTTCTCAATTATGATTTCCACCAGAATTCATTCATTCTGGTCAGTCCAGCACTAGAAGGGCTCTGCAGTGCCAGTAGCCAGCCTGCTGAGACATCACACTCACAGTTTTCGGTGTTGCTGACTAAATAACCACAAAATGTAGCCCCCAACATGTACACCTATACGAAGGTGAAAGTAGCAACTGGCAAGAATTGCAAATTACACAGCCTTTCTTTCCAAGGTGCAACTGGGCACTTGACACTATTCAATCCAGTTGACAACTTAACAGGTTTGCCCCAATCTTATATCCACACGACCGTAAAATATACAGAAAATTTAACCCACTTATTTGGTCAGTCTTTGCTTCCATTTGTTTTCAAAGTGCACAGTCCTAGAGATGGGTGTTGTAAGTTAAAACAAATGTTTCATGCCAAACATGGTTTTAAAAGTAGAGCAACTCTCTCATGGACAAGTGAAGATTTCTGTGGTTTCTTTGTTTTGATGGGAGGTGGGACTTTTACCTGATGTAGTTGTGATTACAAATTTCATATCCTTTTTGGAAAGGAGCTCTGTGGATCCTACAAACGGTGAGAGCTGAACTGGAGACCATAGGGTGGAGGTAGAGTTTATTTCGTGTTGTATAAGCCTCTGTATTTCCCTGCCTGAGTAAACCCAACATAGAGACCGTTTCTTGAAACTCGGCAGACCCCTGAGTTAGCAGGGTGAGCCTCCAAAGGGCAGACAGGGGACAGAGTGAGTGCCCCTTGTCCCTGTAACCAGGGCTCCTCCTTGCTGATTAGAAGCTCTCAGATCTTGCTCAGAAATTACATGGCTGCACCAGGAAAATAGCCAGGTTGGATTTCTGGCTGGCTTGTCTCCTCTCCATCAGACTAGGAAAGATTCCTTTGAGACCACACAGGAGAGAGGCCCTAATTTCCTAGCAGGACTTGAATGAGCATCCCTAATAACTGCCAGCTAAGGAGGGGTGGCCCCAGCTCTGGAGGTCTTGGGGCCTGGGCATGGGGGTGGGGGTGGGGGTTGGTGCTAACCCAGAGACAAGGCAGCTGATGGGAGATAATGGGAGCTCAAAGGGAATTCCCAAGAGCATCCTGGGGCCCACTGAGGGCCAGCAGTGAGGAACTGGGACAAAAACAGAGGCGAGGAAAGCATAGAAAATGACATGCGGGAATGTGCATGCCTACAGTTCGGAAAAGGTGTTCTACACTGGAAAAGGTTTTGCTTCTTTCTCTCTCCTCCACCTCTTCCTCTTCTCACATTCAGGTTTTCTCTCTCTTTTTTTTTTTTTCCCACCCAGTAATGCCTGGAGATGAAAAATGATTTTTATTGCTATTACACTTCCTACCGCAAGATGCACTGCAAGGCGGCAGAGTTTGTATTACAACTATGTCACAATGTTTCACTCATGCAAAACATGTAGCCAGAGGGTGTTGCTAATGACTCCTGGATTAGAGTGAGATTGAGACCGGGAGAAAAAGAAAAAGAGAGAACAGAAGACAGAGGAAGGGAGGAAAGAGAATTTCATTAGAGAACGGGGAAAATCACTGTATAATCAGCTCTAATAATCTAATCAGGATATTTTCAAATTTCTAGGTTCTCTCCGAACTTAAGAGTGGGAGGTAGAGACCATTATCCTTTTAAACACCACAAAGGTTTTTTACATGTTAATAACTATTAATTACGTTTACAGCCAGTTAAGTGAAGAACTCTCCTTTGGAAAGAAACTTCGGAAAACGCTTAATATCAGATTAAAGCCTTTTCCTGGAACCGAGGTCGCTGGGAGGGAGGTGGGGTCGGGTAATCACCCATGGGTGTGCGGAGCCCGAGGAGGCCGGCAGAGGCTCAACGCCCCCGCCCATAATCTTGCACACAAATGTGCAAACGCCTGTGACGGCCTGGTGGGGCCCAGGGTGCCCCATAGAACCCGTGGCAGAACCCCCAGACGCAGCCAGCCACCGAAGCTCGGCTTCGATCGGTCTTAGCGAAAACGTCCCTCTGGGCTCCGAACTCCCCGGTGCCCTCCCCACCGAGACCGGCTCTACTTAGGGAAGCGGGAGGTTTCGCGGTTCCTACCGTGGCCCAGGCCGGTCCCACCGCCCAGCAGTCCGCTTCTGCCCCCAGGAGCACAGCAAGAAGGGCGTTCCCTCGGGGCTGCGGCCCTTTGAACCCGGGGAGCCCTCGGCTCCCGCCCGGAGGCCCGGAGCTTGCTCGGGGCCTGGCTGCGGAGCCGAGTGTGGGTGGCGGGTGGGGTTGAAGGGGAGTGGGGGAAGCTGTTGGGGATGGAGGGGCGGGGGCGGGAGCCGGGCGTTAAGCCTGGAAGCTTGGCTGTTTACCCAAACGATTTTCCTTTCAGACCCGAGACGCCAATGAGACAAGATCAAACTCCCCTTCTCGTAGTGCGTGGTGTGTGTGTGTGTGTGTGTGTGTGTGTGTGTGTGTCGCCTCCTCCAAGAGGGGCTTTGTGAATGGGGGCTCCAGGACGTCGGCTGGGAGGGACCAGAGGCCGACCCGGGCACCAGCGCCTCCTCCCGGGGACTGGAAGAAGCCGGTCGGAGGGCGCGGGGTCTGAGCGCACGGAAGGGTGCCCTAGACACAGTGGTCCGCAGGGAGAGAAGCGAACAACAGGAGCACAGGCCGTGGAGAGCGAGGGGCCGCGTTCCCAAAGGCCCAGCCGGGAGACACAGGGTTGTGTGCAGGAGGGGGAGGAGGAGAATGATATGAATCACATCCTCCTTCCAGTCCCTTAATTTCCGATCCCTCCGAAGCCACTGGTTTCTTCCCGACTGCCTCGCTCGAGATCTATTAGCTGCAAATTAGGCCAAGGTTTTGGCGATTACGGTGCAATTCAGGCCGAGTGACACGCGCCGCCTGGCCTGCGCCTGGGTCTCTCTTCGCACTGCAAAATGGTTAGAAACGAAGAGAGGATGGAAAGTCTGTATTGATAAGGCATTGGTCATTTTAAAAAAGGGCCCCGACCGAAGGATATCCATCAGCCTGGGGGATCTTGGGAAGAGGAAAGAGAAGAGGAGCAGGCTGAAGTCTGAGCCGCAGCTCAGGAGGCGACAGTAGTCCTGGGCTCCTGCAGCTGCTCCGGGGACTGGCTGGTACTAGAATCGCGTTTAAACAACAACAACGAAACAGTATCAATATCGTTGATAATAAAAAGAAGCAGCAGACAGCATATTTATTTATTAAGCTCATAAATGATTAAAATCTGGTCACATGGACATTGTATTTATATTTAGTGGCACTACCTCCCACAACTTACTGCTCACCGAAGACCGATTAAAGACTTAACTAAAGAATTCTTTCTGGAAGAAAAAGGTGTCATTGCGATGTTCTGACTCAACCTCTATTGCTGCTTCTGCGTCAGCCTGCCCCTGGGTGCCCTCCACTCTTCCCACACGTCCATCTCTTACTAAAGGATTCTCTCTCTCTCTCTCTCTCTCACCAACCATCAGCTCCTTGTCCAGAATGTTCTTGTTTAACCGGAATTCCCCTCCTCTGGTGCTGACCCGGGTGAGGCATATCAGAGACCTGCTTACCCTTCTTCAGGCCTCTGTGTCTTCTGCTCAGGTGGCCCATGCCTGAAAAACATCCCGAGGGGGGAACTCTAG